TCGGAGTCACCTTTTAAAACGAGCTTGCAGCCTGAACGCAGTTTTCAAGCTTAATTTTAACTAAGGTTGTGTATACTGCAGTGAACATAACAGTATCTAACTTGGTGAATGTCCATTCTAAACCCGACGTCTCAAGATCATGACTAAGTGTCACTGCAAGATCCCTGTGAGGCCGGGCTATGGTTACAGGCACTTCTCTTGTGCTGTACCTATTTACCTTTGTACCCCTAAAGTATATGCAGACGCACTTTGCCGCGTTGATAGGTATCAGTCACTTTTTAGACTAGTTAATCACAATATTTAAGTCTGCCTGAAGTGCGTATGCATCTGCGTCTCTTGATATTTGTCGCCAGATTTTTACATCAGCGTGTCGCAACGTTGGGGATTCAACTGTACTTGGGTGTTCATTTACATACAATATAAAAAATAAAGGACCTAGGATAGAGCCTTGGTGTACTGCATTAAGTACTGGTTTCCAGGTGGAGCACTGGAAATTTATTCCTACTTTTTGTGTACGACCTACTAGGATATCCTTAAGTCATCTTAAGAGAGGTCCTGCAATCCCATGATTTTCCAACTTCAAGAGCAGTCTGTTTGTTGGCACCTTACCAAATGCTTTACCGGAGTCTATGTAAACAACATCTACTGATTTTCTATTGTCTAGAGCATCTCTCCATTGCTATAAGGAGATTTGTTGTGCAAGACAAACCTTTCCTGAAATCGTATTGTTCGCTGTTTAACAAGTTGTTGGTTTCCAAGAATGTCATTGTGGTCTTTTTGACTATTCCCAGTATTTTAACCACGACACTGGTGAGTCTGACAGGTCTGTAGTTTAATGAAAGTTGTCTTGATCCTGTTTTGTGTATTGAAGTGACAATTGCATTCTTCCAGTTTATAGGCAACTCGCCTTGGCCAAATGACGTTGAACATCACAGTTAGTGGTTTTGCAATATATTGTGCAATGTCTTAGGATTTTGGGGTGTAGTTAACCTAGTCCTGTTAGCTTTTCCGTGTCTTAAGTACAAACGGCCTTAAATACATCATCTCAACCGAAGTCCACAGTAAACAGATGGTTTCTTGATTTTGTTGTGTCTTCTAGTTTGTCTAGAAGAGGCTCCTGATTGAAGACTGCATCGAAATAGTTTGCCATAGCCTCTGCTTTTTCCTGATCATCCTCTATCATTTCAGATCCACTCCTTTCTGTAATTAGGTTGGGGCTCCAATGTTGCGTCTTTGTTCTGTAATTTATGTACGAAAATAGTCTCTTAGGCTGCTTGATTACAATTTGGGCTAACTGCATCTCATAATTTTGCTGAGCTTCCCGGATTGTAATTATACACCTATTTCGTACCGACCTGTAGCGTTCCATCATACTTGCTGTGCCAAGGCTGACGGCAACGTTCCAACATTTTTTCTTCTGTCTTAGTAAACGTCGAATATCCCGGCCTATCCAAGGATGACCGTCTGTCCAGGGTATATGTGGTTGAGTTACCTGATTGTATAACTACCTGGGATGAGTCCACACCTTTGAATCAATTATCCAGTTTTCACTCGGTGCTGCACAGTTTATCGCCTCCATGTCTGCCTTCCATGCCCCCAAATGCCCTGGTATGGCCGGGAGTGGGGTGGACTCGCCATCCCTCTCGAAATGCTCCCACACGGCCACGCGTATACAGCCTGTGCCAGGGAAGTCCTACTCACTGCCTTCTCGTGGCGGGGGTGTTGTCTACGAAACTGAGAGGACGAAAAGTGAATGTCCGGCGCTTTAACCGGACTCTAAATCAATGGTGCACATGGATTCCAATATCCTGCGGGAACAAATGGCGTATGAACCAATCATTGGTCACCGGCTACCATGAGACTGCATCTCCTCACGATTCTCCACTGTCTTGTGCGTCAGACCTTTAGGTCAAAGGCTCGGGGTGTGGCCCCCTAAGAAAACCACCTGCTTCAGTTTGGGCACCCGGGCAGTGTCACAGCTCTCACAAATCGAATGATTTATGTGGCGCATATCTACTTGGTGCCTCCTTGTACCAATGTTTATTTGTTTAAATAATAATAACAATACTGCCTTCCATACGTTAGGACAAGCCGGTGCAATTGTTTGACAGGCCATCTCGGCCATAAACTTAAGTGAGACGACTGCATGATCACTTCTCCCTAGAGGTGGGGGAGAAAGTCATTTGACCGACATCACCGTATGTAAGGAGCTTCTTAAGTCATATCTGACGGGATCTCTAATGTGCTGGAATAAAACTGATGCAATTGTAGTTTCTAACAACTTGCAATCAAATGACGTTTTTGATGACCCTACTTCTTAGTTAAACCCGTTTATATACGGTAAATTAAAGTCGCCTAATATAAGGCTTCTACCCCTATTACACCATGACTCAAGTTCGCTTGGGAGAAATTCATCTACTACACATTCTGGACCGTGGTATACTACAACTAATTTAATATATTGCTGTTTACATTTCAGCCTTAAGCGCATCAGTTCACATATCCCTGAATCATGTACCACTGTCTCGACAGCTCGTATAGTTAAGGTACTTTTCGTGTACAGGATAACTGTTTAGTTTATCAGCCCTACTGGGTAAAAAATACTAATCAATTGGATTTCACTATTATGCACGCTGCCGTCGACCATGTTTCTGAGATAACAATGACATTACAATTTTCTATGTCTGTCATTGTCTTGAGCTCCGTCACTTTATTTTGTAGGCTGCGAGCATTTGTGTAACACACCTTTGATTCTGTGGAAAATATTACCTTACCACCCAGAGTGGCTTGAGTATCGTTTTGCTCCGAATTTTTACAATTTGAAAACTCTTACGTATAAGGTTTTTTTTCGGCGGCCCTCATTTCTACTTTTGCCGATCGTCTTTTAATACGATTAACCAGGCTGAGATCCTCACGGCCATATATTCCGGATCCAGTCAGTTTTCCAGCATTAAGTTACTTTCTTCAGCCGAAATAAAGGTAGCTTTTAGGAGGTGGATTTTCTGCGTACTTTCAGAATTCACTTTTTGCCCTATTATATGAAGCTTACAGATGCTAACTCCTACTACTATTTCTGGAAGAAGTTTGCTTATTAAGGATTTAGTTTAGTTAAGTCTTTTTCGGATCTAGTTTTGGTTCTCTCGACTTATGAAAAATGACTGACCTGTCAACGAGGTTCGTTTTAACACGCTTTGGAGTTTTGTTTCCTGAAATCATCTGCCTGCAGTCCTATTTGGCGTCAAACGCAATGGTCTTACTCTGTTTTCTTAGTTTTTTTCTGGGTGTAACTAAGCCAATCAATTACTTTATTATGTCTCTTAATCACATCATCTACACCTCTCAGGCTTTGCTCCCTCATAGTCTGTTTTGCGTTGATATATGAATCCGGAACTGAAACTAGATTCACATACCTTAATGTTGTCTATAATTTGTTTCTTAGAGTGCTTTTTTCTTTTGTCTTGTAACCATGCCTACATCTGTGTGCCCATTATCCTCTTCTTTAATGGGGTCCACCTTGATGGTCTCATTCAAATCCAAAGCTGGGCTCATGACAATGCTCTCTGTTTCCTCGAAAACAAAAATCCGCTCATCTACTGCTGCCTGTTTATCTGAGGGCATTTTTCTAGCTACACTCAGAAGCTCAATCGCTTCAAGAATCAGTAGAGACTTTGTAGAACAGTATGCTCTATACAGTCAACATATTAGTGGCCCGCAGCACCTTTTATACGCAGCCGGAGTGAGCCCGGTGCACACATTATGACACCACTTATTGTAGTTGTTATATTGCATTCCATCATCGACCGTGAAATAGCATGCAGGTCTATTACAACGATGTTCTACTTGCGCCATAAAATTGTTTAGTGATCTCACAGAGAGAACAACAACAGAAACTGATTTCTAAAATAAGTGTCTTTTAAGACTTTATGGGTGATAGGCACTGAACACAAAAAAGAGGTTTGTATGTTACTGTTACTGACAACAATAAAAAAGCATCCGACTTAAATAGACAAAAAATCTTAACAATTTTGGATAAAAACATAACTAAAAGATATACTCAACGAGGGAAAAATACCACTGCCCTTTTGTATCTGTACTCAAAAAGTATAGATGATAAATTACTATATAAAAAACAATACTTTTGGCGATTACTTTACCTGAAATATATTTAATTAAGGCGAAAACAGTAGTCTAGATGCATAATTAAACGATCCATACTATAAAATATAGTCAGCGAAAAAAAATGCCATTGTCCTTTTCAAATAATGCTCGTATATTTAGTTGATTACATTCAATGGATTTTATGTAAAGTGAAAACTTCTCTAAAGATAGCTGAAAGTAGGCCATCAATTCTTACTATCTTCCACTTCAGGTGCAGTTATAACAACGATCATATTGAATCTTGCGTAAGTTATTTCAGTGATCCATTCACAAATTTGACCTAAATATTTTAAGCACATTGGCTCTCCCTTACCTCGAGACTGTCTTGAGGTGTGTTAGAACTCCAGTCGTTATTTGTCATCCAAATAACGTTAAGCACTGACTAACTATTTTACATTTTATTTTGCGGATTGCCTACGTAAGTATGATAAGCTTTTTGGTTTGTATTAGCAAATGCCCATTTATTTAGTAGATAAAGCACCTGGCTTACAACTCAGTTCCACTTTGGTTTGAGAACCTGTTTGATATCGTCAGCCTCCACAGTGTTTGGATTAAAGCACAGAATTTGACATATACCTCATAATGTCACGATGTTATATCAATCTTCTAAGTCTCTTCACTTAAGTTTGGAAGTAAAAATGAGCTCAAGCATGGTGTCCACGTTTTGGTGGATAAAACTAGTCATCATCTATCGCTGAACCGTCACAAAAAGTAAATGTATACTAACTCTTAATTCACTCCCTAATTGGTTTAATTTCTAAACCCTAACTTGTTGTACCAAGTGTTCGTTTTTAAATCTTATTTTCTCTGGTGCATTCAAAATTCAGGTGTCTTTCACATAAATGGATTACTCAAGTGATCCACTGACAGATTGTCAGTCTCAAATGTTATCGTTCTGGGATCTCATACGTGTTGAAATAGATGGTCTAAAATGTGACCATGCCGCTTTCAAAACCCAGGACTTACCACTGGCTCGTATCAAAAAGATTATGAAGTTGGATGATGATATCAAATGTATGGTGAGTCTTGATTTTGTGTTGAATTAAGTTGTTTCAGAATAATTTTAAATCCGTTATTGGTGGGATTTAAGGAATGTCAAACGAGTGTTAAAAAAACTACAGAGAACAAGTTTGGGTGAACAGATGTTATTCGGACTGAAAACGAAAAAATAAAGAAATGTTTCGTAGCCTTATATATCAGCTCTCAGTTGACGTTTAATGTCCATAAGTATGGCATGTACTCTACAGCTTCTAAACCTAATTTACTTCTCTATAACTGACAGGAGTCTCTACCTTTACTCAGCTTTGGTAGTGAGCAGTTACATGTAGTCGAAAGGTTCGTGTATCTGAGTGGCTTTGGGTGTGCTAGTGGTGAGGTGAGTGATGAGATCAATTTGCCTGTAGTAAATGTGAGAGCTGCTTATGCCATCTTTGGTGCCTTTGTGATGTTTGTCTGGCTGTTCAAGATTCAGTTTACAACGCTTCAGTGGGGGCAGTTCCGCCCTATGTTTCAAAACTCTGCCCTCTCTGAGTTGAGAAAGTTAAATAACTTTGTGTTCGACCATCGTTATCTCTAACGCATCTACAGAAACATGGTTTTCTATAAAGCCACTGATTTTAATTAGAGAGAAAATTTTCAATCTCTTACAAATTAAATATTTGTAGATTGATTGTTTATCTTTGTCTACATTATTACTGTTCACATTGCATTCCATATTATTAAGTAGTACCCATTTATATGAATTAACTTTTCTGTTTGTTTGCAAGTAATCTATCTCTACTCTAAATAAATTTAAATTCATCTTGCATGACAAAACTTCATTTGTAAAATGCAAACTACTGCTGAGATCTTATAAACTTTCCTCTATAGTGGTTTTTGTATCACATCTAGCATAAGATTAAGTATTTAAAAATCCATAAAACTATAAATACTTTTCTAATTGAAGTGCTCCAGTTAATTAAATATGTGATATTTTTTTAATCTTAATCGGAGATTTTTTTATGTTAATTCTACTCATAACAGGTCATCTCTATTAGTAAATATCATGTTCAACCTGCATAAATTTACTGCAAAATGAGATAAAGTTTTTTGTAACAACCTAGCACTTGGTAAATTATTTCAATATAATTTTAGAAATATTCATTTTTTTAGTATTAAGGGTTTTCTGAATATTCTTGTACTTTTTACTTATAAGATGATAAGCGCTGAGGCACCCATATTGTTCGCAAAAGCTGCTGAGCTTTTTATACGAGAACTAACGTTGAGGGCATGGATCCATACAGAACGTAACCGTCGGCGTACTCTTCAAAGAAATGATATAGCAATGGCAGTCAGTGATGGCGACACAGATCAATTTGATTTTCTTATTGATATTGTACCACGTGAAGAAGCAAGAGGACATCGTCGGGTAAGTCTTTACTTGTTATTATATAAGCAGTTATTACATATTATGACTTAAGAAATTCACAATATTTCAGAGCTGTAGAATTCATCGTTTTGTTTTCTAATAATATTTTCAAGTGTTCTGAACATTAATTCTCATAATATTTAACTATGAAATATCATCTCGACTCTTGTATATTTGGCTAGTGGCTGGGTTTAGAAAAATGTAGATTATTTCAACCATTTTTTAATATACACTCACATTATGTTAACAATTTTAAGTAAATTAAAACCACAAAGCGTCTGGTTGTAGTTAATTGAACCAGTAAAATTACATAGCATAATTCTTTGAGGAAATACTGAGATCTTTATACAAAATATAAAAGGTGAAATTCATGCGAATATCTCCCAGTTATCTGGATGTTAAATTGGAATTCGGCTGGTAACTCTCAAGGACAGGATCATATCTCCAAACCTCACTTAATCTACTCAAGTCTGAGTGACCGTACTGCATTAATAGCTTGCATACGAGCTTAGACAATCCCTTTGTTTTTAAGACTGAAATTGTTTCCTGAAGTAATTTATTATCAGGAAGTTGATTATGGATACAGTGGTCTTGAGTGCTGTTAGAGGTATGAGGGCGATTATCACTTCCCGGTTGCCCACACCGTGGAAGGGTTCTTCCGGAGGTACCTGAAAAGGAAATTGGATTAGAGGTGGTCTTAGTGGCCTGAAAGCGTGACCGCAGTGCCCAAGGGACAACTGTTTGAGGTCGGTCACACACGACCTTTTTATGGGTAATTTTTGTGTTAGCTCCGTACTTGTTGAGACCTTACCGTCGAAGACGGATATCCATGGGATAAGGCGAGGTGTGCATTTTTAGGGTCGACCTTTTCTAACCCCATCCCTCCTTGTGGGAAGGCAGCATCGCTGTCATGCTGGTTGTCTGAAGGAAACACCTTACTGCTGTCACACCTCTGTACAGTCAGCAGTACGACTTCGCCTTCGGACCTTGGGTTTGCTGCTTTTAGTATTACCGCTCTTCAACCGACCTGTCTGACATGGTAGGACCTTGGGGAACGGTTGTTCCAGCCAGTGTAGCTCGGTCGCTTCATCACAATAGGCAAGCCCGACCACCACGTCAAGGTAGCAACAACGATCGGGAATTTATTATCAAGTCTAGGTGTCTCATTCAAGCTATTCATAGCTAATGCTTTTAGTAAAAACAAATTATATAATTTTTACAAACATCTCTTTGTTCTTTTAAATCTCTGTTTAAAAATTAATGTATTATAAATGTACTGTTACTACGGCAAGTATTCTGTGTTTTGAATCATCAGTGTTTATAGCACAAATGTTTACCCACTTTAAACAATTTAAACTCTACCCAGGGAGTTGAAGTATCTTCATTCATAAGAGTTGTGATGCCTCGTGGTGAAAGCCGAGATTCTTCGAAAGTCGCGAGATTGATGTCCCTTCTAACAACTAACATTAAATATTTACCCAGTTCATACAAAATTGATTATTTCAATTATTGTAAAATAACAGCTAACTAAATCATTAACAGATAGTACAGTTATATTATATCCATATTATTAGTCTGTTCCTATACATGGGTTTATTATATTTCTAAAATATTTTTACCTATCACTACTTTTAAACTGTCATATAAACCTTGATGACACACTATTTTTATTGATTAAAGCCAACGCAAACAACCTCAGCTTCAAATGCTAATGGGAATTCAGGGAATATTAAGTCGGAAAATGCTTCACATAGAAATAATTTTCTTACGAATACAAACGATACGCACTCATTATCTCTAGGACAAAACTCTGGTCAAATGGTTGTTTCCGGTTTGTCCAATGACGCTACAGGGTCTTCAACCCAACCACAAACAGTAACTGTTGCTCTAGCATCTGCGGCCCTTGCCGGGGCAACATCTGTTAATTCAGCCATTCCATGTCAAACATTAGTCCAACAAAATCAACCTACAGCTGTTCATTTTACAACGATCTCTTCTGGGAGTGGTTTAGCCACCGCCCAGTCTTCAGCTAATTCTGGGTCAACTGTAATAGCAGCTTCAGCACCTAATGCCACCACAGTCGCTACCACCGCAGCTCCTTTGCAATATGTTCTTCAACTTCCGGTCGGCACAGCTGGAGCATCAGCTGGTCAGCCATTTCAAATACAAGTCCTTCCCCAACATTTCCAGGCAAGTGAATCGAGTTTTATAGGTCCGATAATTATTTCCAAGTCAATTAAATAGCAATGCAATACTGAATGCAAATTTTTTTGCTTATAAAATCCCAAAACTGAGGTTTGAAAATCAGCCTGTTTATATTGTCTCAAAAATTGTGCGTCATTCGACATCAAAATAGCAGTCACATTATGCAAATCGTTTAAATTTTGTTTTATGTAGATATCATGTTAAACATGCCAAAAAATGTTCTTTTGCAGTATATCACGTTCACGTATTAATGATTTCACTATTCCTAATAATTGGTATTATAAACTTCATTGAAAGACCAATACCAAATTTACTAAATTTGTTCAAGTCACATTATAAATAGGAAACTGCTTAAAACTGGTTATTTGCTTTGAAATAAATAGTGAGATTATTCAACTGAATGCTTTTAACTTTTTATTATAATAAAGGTCAATGTCTTTTAATAGATGTTCACATAGAAATTTTTATTGAATGTGATTGGTGTGTAAAATAACACTTGTATGACTTCAACGACCACGCTATCGCAATACTTCATAATGATTTAGTTAATAGATATGCGATACGAATTGGCTGATTGCTCACAAAACGTAACTGTTTTACAGAATAGGGTGTGTGGCTAGTAGTAGAATCCAGGACGTGTATTTCGCTCTAATTATTACTCCCCAGCTGAATGTACCTGGAAAGCATCAACAACGGAATAATCGAAACCATTACAAATTAAACTAAAATTCATTCCCGTTGTACAAGCGAATGGCTATCTGAACTCAGTAGCTAGGTTGACGACGCGTTGGTTTTCGAAGTGAAAAGCATCGCGTTCAAATTTCGTAGTGATCGTCAATTCTGGGATACAGCTGACAAAGCCCAAATAGAACGAAATAAACTTTCTATGTCCCACTGCTATTCACATTTAATATATTCGATGAGTACTTGTGACACAATAGCTATACCAAGACAGTCGGCAGAGGATTTGCACATATGCCAGCTGAGATTTAAATTCAGTCAGAAAACACACAACGCGATAATCTAAAATATTCAAGTCAAATTAAAAGTTAACCTTTGATTCTTTTTCTGATAAAATATCACAAACTCAAGTCAAAAATATCGATAAATTTAATAAGATAATAATTAAACATTGAAGTATTGTTTGTGGTGACAAAATTCCCTTCTTCAAAAACTAATATAACATGTAGAAGAATCTATAGGCGTTGCTACTAACCCATTTCTCATACAGTTCATGAAGTGACAAATTACTAATATAAATGCCCACTCTTAAGATAATTCTCAAAAAAACAATCAGAAAACCAAAATTGACACACGTCCAACTTGCATAAATATTGAATCCCCAATGTTTTAGTAACAAATAGTCATAATTTATCTAAAGGGTATGGTATCGGACTTTTAACTTGTAGTTATGCGATGCAGTTACTGTGATGTCGTCTGTGTAGCAGATAATTATACACAAGATTTCATTTATGCTGAACACCGAACACTTAGATATGATTGAATGGGAAATGACGGCGACAAAAACGTGAGATTAAGTGTCGTCATGTAGTAGTGAACTTTTTTGTTTAGTCAGAAAATAATTCTATTCAGAGATTTTTAATTTAACTAACCGAAGTGTTCACGATAGAATGAAAGTTAGAGTTTATTCTGAAGACTAGTTCGGGATGTGTTATATTAATGCACAGTTGAGATTATAAAAGTAATCAAGAAAATACTGATTGATTGGTGAGGGCCAACGTTACGATGTGCCCGATTGCAACTGCTTACGAATTGAATTAGTGACATAAGCTCCAAAACGAACCAATATCAAAAATAAAATTACTGGACAGTGAAATGAACAATAACCTTAGATACAAATTTAGCATCTCTAGGTATCATAAGCGATTAGAGGATATGAATTTTTCATATTGCTCACTCCTGAATAATAGCAATACTTAACTGCAAGGTTTTACCCATGCTTATCATACTAGAGTTAATAATGTACTTGAACTGGTCTTCATTGTAGACTGATTCGGTTTGTTAAAGAAGAACGACCACAAAAATTGACCTGAAAATCTTAAAATGACATAACATGATACACGATTGTTGTTTCGTAGTAGTGTATTTCAATGCTTAAATAAGAATGGGTAAACTGTAGATCATTGGTGTTTTTACTATTTTTAAAGCTGTATAGTATGGATACTAAAAATGGAAAAGTGATAAATTTTAAACTAAACTATAAATCTCATTTAATCATACCATATTGTGCGATTAAATCACTAATTGGATATCGTTAAATGTATTCATGAAGTTCTGGAACAGAAACAAGTCAGTTTCTAGGTCCTTTAAATTGTATTCATCGGTGGTTTGGACATATGTTATACACCAAGCCATTAATGTGCAATAATATTTAGTTTATAGTTATATCAACGGTTTTTGATTAGCGCCTATTGTTTATACGCCACAAACAATTCCAGCTGTAATAAACACTTGCTATGTTGTTATTATTCAAATATTTAACCAATATTTGCAACAGACTGCTAACACTGACGCTGTATCTGCCGGTCAAGCTGGTGCTATCCTTGCCGATGGAAATACACTTCCTTTAGTTCAAGTTGTCTCTCAACCCGGTGGTATAGCAGTTCCAATCATTCAAGAGGCTGGTGGCAGTCGAACTCAAATTTTACAGCTTCAGGTATACTGATTTTCTCTGTGTATATCATACTCACATGTCCCAGTATTACAGTGTTCTATGACATTTTTCTTAAATGTCCAAGTCGTTAAATGTAAAATCTTCATATTACCATCATCTAGCAACCATCATACTTCTATGTTGTATTGAAAGATATCTAAGTTTTCTCTTATTACACATTCAGTAGTTTTCTGTATTCTATGTATATATTGTATAGAGCAGTTATTAGTAACCCACCTAGCTGACAAGCCATCAGATAGTTTCTAATTCAAAATTATATTAGTAGAAATGTTCTAATACTAATATTCCAATATACTAAATCGGTGACAGTCAATTATTGGTTAAGTCTAATGTATCGTTTAGTAAATAGCCTAATATGTGGTCATATCAACAGAGCTTAATGAATGTCACAATCTATCTATAATGAGTATGAATATCCTATCATGTACTATTCTTTTTTGAATACCATACCAAGCTTTAAAAAATATTAGTTATTAATTTTATCTTCATTAGTAAACCAAATTTCTATACAGAGTATTGTAAATTCAAAAATAATAAGTTAACTTTTCTTTGGTGCAGTCCTTGTAACTAGGTTGGCTGGTTATGGGATCAATTGATATATCTTATCTTCTTATCTTTTGCAGGAGCAATAAGCAAGCAATTGACACATTAATGCCTGTTGCTCTACAAGCTTCTTAGGAGGTAGTATTCACTCAAAAGAATAAGTCACCATGCAAAATCTTTCTCTGTGTTTTTGGCCGAAAACTCAGGTTTATATACATTAATTAGAAGATTAAAAAATATAAAGCTACAATGTGATAAAAAACCGAATTAATGGAGGAATAATTTAATTAGTAATTATTTTAAGATGATAAATCTTATACCACCAATTAATACATCAAATGAAAGCACATAAATAAGATAATGTGAACATACACTAATTCAAGTATTTGATATTTATACAGTAAAGTTATAAGTGATAATTCTCTGGCAGTTGAACCTTTCCCAAATCCACTCCGATTTTTGAAAGTTAGTATAACATTGAATTGCATTTAACGTTTATTTATCTTAAATACTGGAAGCAGTACACATTTATCAAGTCAGTGTAATAAAATCCTCTAATTCCTTTCTGATAATAATATTAATAAAATTATGTACATTCTTTTGTTTTTTTTCGTTCCACATAGATGCCAGAATCAACTGCTGGTGTAAGTATCGCAAGTGGCTGTTAATTTGTCCGTATGAATCTCTAATACACACCTCTTCTCTTTCTCTGTATGTGTTTGCTTGTTTGTTTGTATGCCTGATACATTACTCATACAAAAAATGTTGTATACCGCTCCCCTCTCCATATCTCATGTTTGTGTTCGTTTCATTTTTACTCGTGTGAACATTTAATCATTCAGTTGTTGTTTCTTGACTAATTCATAAAGATTCTAATATGCTGCATGTTTATTTCCTTTTTAAGATCTTCATTTTCTCTGTATCTCCCTACTTTCCCCTTTATCTATCTATAATCCATGCATGTTCGGTATAAACATTATTACTATCGTTTTTATATTGCTTAATTGTATCGTTTTATTAAAGTCATTGATTTTTATGATGTTATCATTATTATTATCGTTGTTGTTCCTCTGTTAATTTCTCTCTGTGTCTTTTTCATATTTTATAAATGATATTTCGTCTCTATATCAAACAATTTCCATGCATATTGTACAAAATATAAACTTAACTAGACGTTCTCCTTACTATATATATAGTTCTGTTTGTTTTGGAGCATTGACACGTATATTTCTCGCCTCTGGTAAAAAACTCAACTCTAAACATTTCATTAAATGCATGTCTGGAAAAAAACTTAAGAGATTCGATTCAACTGGATTATTTGTTGTACAGTAACAAAAAATCTATTGTTACCTTAACAATTTGCACATTAAATGTACACGATAATATATATAAAATCTTAAAGTGTAAAAGCATTTTTCTTCTCGACGCTTTTCTTTTATATCTATTTACACTATATCACAATGTGCATCGTTGTTTTGTGAACGTCCATCTAGTGTATTTATTCTGCGTAACACATTGGTTAAACTTAGATGCTTTTTCTCTTTCTTTTTTACTCTTGTTTACTAATCCTAGCAACGACCGACCTTGTTTCTACAGCAAGCCGGTGCTCTGCTAGGGACTCACATGGGTGCAGTAATTGCCAGTGTAGATGGTCATTCTCAACAAATTATGTACAGTTTACAAGCACAACCTCTGGTTTCTTCAAACTCTTCATCAAGAGCCCAAGTTCTTCTTTCATTGGATGAGGCATCTGAATGTATCTCATCTATTGCAGATTCAAACTGTATAACATCTAATAACAGTATTCATCCTGGTGCTGCTCAGTTATTAGACGAAGCAGCTAGTGAATTAGATATTGCATCATCTGTTGCTGTACCACACTCAGTAAGTACTGAAATACTTGGACCTAAAGATTACACTCCTCATCCTACGGAGCTTGATCACAAGCCAGTTATAAACTCCGGTAGTGTTATGATTACTGATGACCTTGTAGGTCTAACCGAAGGTCAAGCAGTCGAGATTCACACCGTAGAGTCAAATAACAGAGAGTGCTTGGAGTCTGGAGTTGACAGTAGTAATCCACACCCAACCGTTATTACAGATGATGATAAAACCGTTTGAAACCAACACTGTCATATTCTTAATGTTGTCCAGTTTTTATTCTTTGCTTCAAAATACATGTATGTATATATGCATACCACCACAGAACAAATTTCGTCCTGTTAACGTAACTCGCCTATAACATGTTTCTTCAATGTTTTATTTGCTCACAGCTATGTTATGTATTAAAAATGTGTGTTCATAAAGTGAAGACCGCTATATTCTGTGAATCGTGTGAATAACTATGCCGAACACGAAATATTATAATAATTCTATATATACCTTTCAGTCTAATTGTTTATATGAGATTTTAATGTTCGCACATTTAAAAAGGTTTACTCCAAAATATCTTGTTTGGTTTTATTTTCAAAACCTAGTGTTTATGTTACTTCGTTTATTAAACTATTATTTGCTTCTTGAGAACTAATTCAGCAACCTGTTAGACTAATTGTATTAAGTTTCACATTCAGTAAACCACCAGTTGTCATAAGTAGTTTTACAGCAGGCTAATTTTATTTAACAATGTCCCAAAAAAGTAGTTCTGGCTAACCCGTTTGTAATTCGCTGATCTAGACAGTTTATTGGTGAAAACCGCAGTAAATATGGTTAACTACGGTTCCACGATCTAAATCAATGTTGGGCTTGAGATATAATGTCTGTCAAAGAGAAACACGTAAGTTTTGTGTGATCCCGTATTAACCCGTGATACTGTACTTCACATTACAGCACCAAGGGAAGAGTATCATAACCAGGAACTAAGATGACGCCAGCTGAGTAAACTTGAAAAAACTATTGGAAAGCATAAATACGTCCAATACGCGGTTTTACAACTGATATACATGTAAAATAATGATGTCACCTCATATAAGATTAGTATACCCTGAGAGTTATTTCAGCAGTTTAATAATCTATACCTGATGTTTGTCATTTCCCGGGCTAACAACAAAGCTTTACCGACCTCACTATTTAGCTGTAAGGAAGCTTAATTTCAATCAATACTATGTATCCATAGAACAATCGGAACCTAAGATATAATTTATCCCTAATTACTAGTGTTTCTCACCTTTTTGATCTTCTATAAGTTACATGTTTAGCCAGATCGAGTTTCCAGAAACATAAGCTTTATTCACATCGTTTTAAGAATGATCATTAGAAGTATTGGTTTATAAACTTAGTTTCCTATGGTGTATTGAATAGAAAGCTATTTCCCAGGGCCCTTGATATATAATATCATTGAAATAAAGCAAGTCATATAACGTAGTTAATAAGTTCAGGACAGTCATACATCAACTAACCTTTATGTGGTTTAATGTTTCAAATAAACCCACCGTTTGCAAACAACTTATTACCAAGCAATAGTCGGAAACGGAAAACCGTTGGCTCTTTCTTATCAGTCAGTCAGTCAGCTACAACGTAGGACCAGGCACATATGTGCATCGGTCCAGGTTGCCATACCGCATCAGCACAACAAGATGAACACCGGATTCATAACAGTGGTTAGGTAAAAGGTGGTAATATATAAGAGAAAGATTGCATATAGAGATATAGTATAGGAAGAAAGAATTAGTTCGTAGAAAGAAAGATATGAATCGATTTTAATCTCTTAGTTTAAGGGAAGACAGGGAGTGTATACACCGACGCCATTGTGATCGATTCTGAGCCATGTCACCAACCATTGGTTACGCAAGTCACGCGGACCCCAACCAAGTAGTCTGCATCTACCAACATGACTCAGACTAGAAGTTAGTGACTTCAAGCACTGATGCCACGTTTTGGTTTGGCCGCCCCTAACTTTCTTCCAACCATTTCCAATACCGGATAGCATTGTACGTCGTGGTAATCGGTGTTCAGGCATACGTAACACGTGGCCCAACCATCTCAGTCGATGAAGATTCATAACCTCATCAACTGATTTACCATCATTTCCTAATACCCTGCGTCTAACCTCACTATTACTTACCCGATTATCCCAGCAGACGCCAGCAATATTTCTAAGGCATCTGTGGTCAAATACTAGTAGCTTACGAGTGTCTTCTACCCTTAAAGGCCATGTTTCGCTGCCGTAAATTAAAACAGAACGGACTGCCGCGCAGTATACTCGTCCTTTTATTGATAGACGGATATCTCGCCTTCGCCACAGGTGACGTAAGTTGGCAAAAGCCAAACGAGCTTTTCGAATCCGTGCTGAGATTTCGTCCGATACCAACCCATTAGGGCTGATCAGACTTCCAAGATAAGTGAAGTTGTCAACGCGTTCGACTACTTCACTCCCTGTCCTTAGTTCAGGTGTTAACGCAGACCAGTCCTGAAGCAACAACTTGCATTTAGAGGGAGAAAAGCGCATTCCAAACATCCTGGCGTTGTTGCTCAGTGCTACCAGAAGACTCTGCATTTTGTCAGCGTCTTCACCAAACAGGACTATGTCATCTGCGTATTCTAGGTCGATAAGTGGACCTCCTGGATGGAGATCAATACCCGAGAACTCAGTCGACGAGAATGTTATTTCCATTAGTAGGTCTATGATGAAGTTAAACAAAAATGGGGAAAGTGGACATCCTTGACGGACTCCGCTTGAGGTTGCAAAAGTAGATGACAGTTCGCCATAAGCTCTCACTCGACTAGTAGTGTTCGAGTAAAGAGCCTTCACAAGGTTTATGTACTTCTGAGGTACGCCTTTCAATGACAGACACTGCCACAGAACCTCGCGGTCTACCGAGTCAAATGCTGCTTTTAAGTCAAGAAAGACCACCATCGTCGGACGCCGATAAGTATGCCTATGTTCTAGAACCTGACGAATGGTGAATATGTGGTCGATGCAGCCACGACCAGGTCTGAAGCCAGCTTGATTCTCTCGTGTTTGCAGTTCACGAGTCTTAGTTAGGCGTCTGATAATTATCGAGGCTAGTATTTTAGATATTATATTAGTTAAACTAATCCCTCTGTGGTTGTCACAGGATGATTTTGATCCTTTCTTATATATTGGGACGATAAGTGATTGTGACCAGTCAGATGGAATAACGTCTAACTCCCAGATCTTAGCTAAAATATTAGTCAACCTAACCGCTAAAATTGGACCACCATCCTTAAAGACTTCTGGAACCAGTCCATCTGGACCAGCTGCCCTTCCTCGTTTCAGATTATCTATAGCCTTTTGAACTTCAGCAAGAGTTGGGGGACCTACTTCAATGTTCCATTCACGCTGTCTGGGAATGGATGGTAGTTGTAGAGTCGCTGAAGGCCAGCTGAACTGTTCCCTAAAGTGTTCCGCCCATCGTTCTAAACGTCTGGACTGGGAATAGATGAGAGTATCTATTCCCAACTGGTTTGATTCTGTACGATGCGAGGTCAGAAATATCTGCAACCCCCGATATTATTAAACAAGAACTGTAGTATGACACAACTTTTCTTCAGTCACAAACGAAGTAGAACCTGGCCAATATGTTTACTGATTCAAGTCGCCACAACACAGGGAGATGAAGTTATCAATACAAATCCCAGACTGGTAGGAAGTACACGAAAAATAGAAAGCATATGACTCTGGGACTCAAATGTAAGGGCAGATGAGGAGTGGATGCATCTACTCAATTGGGAGTGACTGAGATCCACGTCATCCAACGTTCCCAACTATGTAACGATATCAGCGCGGACCCCAAACCAGAGAACATGCATATACCTACGCGGCACAATCACTGATGCAATGCCTTAGTAGCTTGTACTTCTATTGTTCATACAGCTACTCTACCATACCCTCGTCTTCATCAACAAACATTTGTTTGTAAACCACTGATGAAGACACTAATACGGACTTCAGAGCATTGTGGTGGTGCACACTATATGCTCAATTACCCCACCCAAACTACATTCTGATACGTTTTAAAACCAAGCACAGTTAGTGACCAACCTTGGCGATGAGGCCTAATGACTGTCCAACCTTACTCCTGGAAAATTTGTCTGGTTATACCACTTATCTGACTATTAGAATAATCTTTTACGGCTCGATGTTCCTAGTAGATCAACAGTTAGTATTTGCCGATTTACTAACCAGGACCAATGTTACGCAGCCTAGTAACTTCAGCAATATGAATGTTTCCTAATAAGATTGGTCGCCAGTCTCGGAAAATTAGGTGCTACCAGGGCAAGTGTACCAACCCACAAATACAAGGAACAATGATTTTTAAGTTCACTGATACAATTTGATCAAGTGCAGTAGCTAAATACATGTTTGTGCTGCATGCTTCACAATTTCTGAGCGCTTGTGATACTACTTAAGTAGCTAAACCGTGATAACTGGAGCAGGTATAAAAATGGGACCCAGTGGTTGTAAATCACACAGAACTCCATTTTGTGACATAGACGCTCAGAAAAACGAAACTCAAAATACAGGAAACATCTACGCTATTGAGTTTTTCTAACCGGTTACAACAGATAATTCCCACAGATACGATTAACATTCGATCATACTAAAAACAACATAGACTTTAGTCCGTTATATTTTTATGGACCATAGTTATGCCTTTTCAGGTCGTCTTTTACTGCATTTATTACATATCTAACATGTGACCAAATCCCCATTCAATATTAATGGTATTCGCCTTACATATATGTACTTTCTTTTCGGTGATCACTTTGTAGAGATAGTTATAACACACTGCTTGTTAACCGGCTATTTTAGTTCCTAATATTATTATGAGATTGAATATATATTTTGAAGCAACACTAAATGTCGTGCCATATATACTGAGTCTTGCTGTCATTATGTTTAACAAATTAGATTAATATTACTAATGCTGAGAACTTCTTAACCTATGTAAAGCTTTCTACAAAAACTATCACAACCAGTTTATAAATAAACGAGACTTCGAATAGTTACGAATAAAGTTAAACTGTTATGAAGTATTACAAAACATTTGAGTTACTTACTGTCCAACTGAATACACATCCTGGATGATAATATCAACAAAAAGCGTCAACCTCAGGAATCGGCAGTCAACTAGGGTGAAGGTTCCTTTTCTGACCCAAAGCAAACCTCACAATAAGCAGTAAATCTGACAAACCATGCAGGACCCATTTCCGCCATCATCGATTCCTGGGAATGTTAAGGATTTCAGGACAAAGTAAATATTATTTCTATTGTTTTTTTTCTTTCTCACGGATTTTAAGA